TATTTTCTTAGGACTGTTTTCTAAATTCAAGCAGTTTAGGTTGCCCATAGATCTGACTGAGGACATGAACACTGTAGATGCAAAGAGTCCTGTTCAAAGATATTGTGCAAGGTCTGCAACTGTGACCTTTTGACTCGGTACAACTCAAATGCAACCACGACAAGTGACAAATTGTTCAATAGACTGTACTGTTCAAAAACACACTCTTGACTTGGAAATAATTCAAGTCTTTGTGAGTATAGACAAGGTGAAAAAGATACCTGAGCTGCAGACACTTCAATAGGTTCCTTAAATACAATCCACTTGACGCATTCTGCCAGAGGAGGAGTGGTCAGTGAACCGTCATAAGTATAATAATCTGTCAAAGCTGCAAAATGAAGAAAAAATCCACAGTTAATTTCAAAATAAAGGAAGTAGGAACTGTGAGTGAACAGTAGAACATCATATATACCTTGAGGCAAAGCAGCTCTCATGTCATACTTGTCAGGGATTGGAACAGAGCTACCCTAAAAAAAAACACTTCCAGTCAGTCTAAATTAGGCCATAACAATATAAATTATATACAGTATTGAAAGTAATATGATTTAACTGGATTCTATCTCTTCTCATTATTATATAACTTATAGAGCGTTTTCACGTGATGTCATCAAATTCTTAAATCCAAAACTAAAGAGCCACCAAAGTTTTTATCCTCATCAGGCATAAGAGGTACTAAAGTTATATTTGTTTACAACTTTCCAGCTCAATAGCGCCCTTCGTTTGGAAACTAGCACATTTTGATTTTCGAAGTTAGGCGCTGAGTGAGATAAAGCTATGATCACGTTTGTCCAAAATATGTATTAATCTTGTGATTTTTAACCATTTAAGACGTTGTCGTATTTGGAAAAGTGTTTATTTAAATGTTTATTTGTTCAGTGCAGATAATCATTGTCCCAGATAACCACTGTCCCAGATAACCAAAGTAAGTTCCAGATGTTAACACTATTTTCCGGCTGTCACGTTGGTTTACCACAGAACACGAATATGGTGGCTCCATACTAGGCTCTGTAAATTTGCGTGGAACATTTCAACGAATATCTCAACTTTGGGACAATGCACACACCTTAAACTTGGAGAACTGTCTTCTTTATTCATCTTCTGTAAAATCACAATTTCTTGACCTTATCCACTGAATGGTTTTTGATTTTATTTTTTTGTTGCATGACAATGAAAACGCTCTACTGGAAGCATATAACATATCTATTCAACATTGTTTTCATAACCACTTTCCAATTTGATTAGCTTTTTGTTATTGCAGGTTGTGAATATATAATGCTAATATGTTGCTATAAATTATTGTTGTAAATATTGTTGTTGTGATGATAACAAGTGAATATTAGGTACAACACAGACATACACTGCATCTGCTATAGTCAAGGTGGGAATTATGAACTAGTAACTTACAATTAAATGCAGGTCTTTGTATTAACCACGATTCGCAGATCATTAACACAGAATATCCATTGAATAAAACAGCTAGGGGTTACAAATCTAAAAAACACTGCTTTTGTAGAGAGCAAACTTTTGCCAGGAATTAAGCCAAATAACCAGGAAACAAGAGAATCAGTTTTTTTTATAGGAAAGTGGAATAGTACCGGTATATCAGTAAATTTAAAAAAAAAACTAAATATTCTATGTAATTAAGTTTTATGCTGAGATTGCTATCAACTTTCAGGACAACCTCCATCGCTTCACTGTGCTGCCAGATGTAACCCCTTGTGACTAAACACCAACTGATGGCACACTCAACATCTTAGCAAAACAGTCCAACCCACTGTTGGATCAGATCAGTTTCTTAACCAGTTTTACATTAGGCAAGAATAACAAAGTCGTTACCCCAGCTTTCACTTTAGGAAACAAGTCCGTTATTGGTTTTAGGCCTGTATTTTCTTTTCCAACCTGCAAAAGAAAATTTTACTGATTACTTGTGCAATAAAATAGTATTATAATTGTGCAGCGTGGTTCCAGGAAATGTACATACCCATCTCAAGGAAAGTTATTAGAAAATTGAGGGGAGGACAGTTTCCAAAGCAAATGTTTTAATGGATAATAAGTAGGTCCTTCCTTCCTCCTCAACTAGAATTTTCAGAAAGGTGGGAGACTGAGTTCTGAAACCAAAAATTATTCTATGGACAGGTAACTGCATGATGAATTTCTTCACTACATTTGAAGATGGCACACTGTGAAGTGTTTTAGCCAGAGAAAAATGTTGTATCTTTCCCTTAACTTGCTGTTCATAAGAATTAACATAAATTTAAAAGGTTATACCTTTAAGAAAAATCCCAATACGCATAAACCATTTGGGTCACCAGAGCCAACTGCATCTTTGAAAGTGCTATAATTGGCTGACTCACAATTCCAGTGAACTAAATGTAACTGAAACAAATAACAACCAACAAAGAGCAAATTAAAATGAATCAATAAAAGTACTTGGTTATCCTACGTGTGTGTGTGTGTGGGGGNGGGCAACAGGAGGGCAGGAGCCGTGGAGAATAGCAGGTGTATTTTGACCAAGCAAGTGCCATCTTGGATTCAAAATTTGGAAAAGGCTTGGGGAGAGATGAAAATGAGTCCAACATGGCGGCAAATCTACCTGATCGCGAGCTAATACTGTAATTCGTGAACACATGGGAAACACCTGCACTGTAGGCTAAATAAGAGGCAGGAGGGATATGGAAGGTAGGAAAGGTAAGGACAGGAAGCAGGGGTTTTTTAGGGCAGGATGTGGAAGAGAAACGCAAATACTAATTTTTGCTATTACTTTTTGTCAGTGTGTTTGAATCCTTTCAAAACCAAGAACTTAAAATGCTATCTCATTTGCATTTAGCGTCTTCTGAGCCTTCTGAGAAAGCAAGAAAAAGAATATCTACACACTTTGCAAGGGCTACCAAACCGACTTACTTCTTCATGGTTACGTAAAAGGTCATGAAATGTCATTAGCATCATGAGTGCACAAGTGTCACGTAAACTGTCAAAAGGTGAGCTAGAGGAGCAAGGCCGAGTACCTGACTTGGTTACATAAATATCCCACATCTACGTCATCCAGGACCATTTAGAAACAAAGGAAATGCCTAAGAATTGTGCAGCTAATCAGGATGTGTGTGACAGGAGCAGGATGAAAAAGGGCAGGAGATGAAAGATAAAGGTATGGAAAGTGGAAGGTTCTGACTACCATGTCTTCCCCCAACAACAGTGTTGTATTAAATTGTAAAAGTCATGTAATGTTGCATTGGGTTATAAAGAAAACAAATCACATCTCCTTTGCAATTTCTTTGAAGATCTTGTACAATCCAGAAAGATCCTGTAAGGTTTTTTCACCAGGGTACAAGAAGGTGGGCTCCTCCTCTACACCTGACACTAAATTTTCATTGTTAATGTAATTCAAAATTGTTTCGAAATTTCATCGCTTTGTTACCCACCTCAGCTGGGTACATTTTGCCATTCACCCTGTGTTCAGAGCCCTCAGAGTCATTTCCACCCCAGTGAAAGTGAAATTGCTCAAACTTATATTTTGTGGCCAATGGCCCTCCACACACCTCTGGAATCAAAAAGAATTTGAAAGTGTACTTTGTTAGAGAAACATTGATATGAGTGTAATGACTTAGAAGTGATCTGATAATTACCTTCCCATTAGTCTTTGTACTGGTTTAAGGCTTCCAATGCCCCTTTCCGTCAACTGTGGTTCTCTGTTTATGATTTCCAACCCCCTCACTCCTCCCCCCACCCTCCCTGCCATAAACCAAAAAGGAAAGCTAGAATTTGTGGTAAGGTGAAATAAACACCTAGTTTTTATTATTATTCATTATGTACTTGTTAGATTTTAGAAGTGTACGATTCCTGTGCATTTCTGTAACTGTTGACAAAATAATTTTCTCAAGTAAAGTGAACTATTGTAAGACAAAGTAAAATGACACTCAGTTTACATAGCCCTGTGCAAACATGAAGGAAATTGCAGCTTGGGAACAAACACTTCCAATAAATTTCTTCCAAACTTTTGTAAGTGTTTGTAACAGGTTATGTAAAGAAATAGTGGCTTTTCTTTCTCTTGCTTTATAACACAAAGCTAACCATGTGATGTTCTGATTATTACATAATGTCATCATATTTACATAATGCATGGTCTGATTACATAACATGATAAAAATGCTAAATAGTTCTAACCCCTTAGAACAAATTAAATTGCTTTTGAAATGACCACAATATTACCTGAGATAATTTGAGAATATTTCATTAATTTTATGTCCAAACAAGCTAACCTGCCATCAATCAAACTGCAGACAAAAGTACTACTTTAACTAGGGTATCATTAGGGTGGTTTAACAAATCAAAATATAAAGATTGGACTTAAAATATTATATTCAGAAAAGCTAACGTACTTTCAATCAAAATACAGACAAAAATACTCCCCTTATATTCTATCAAGGCTGTGCTCAATGATGTGTGCTGTTAATTGTATGGCCTGTCCGTCCTAAGGACGCTGCCCGCAAGCATATGTTGCAATATTCTGCAGTAACCAATTATTGGAAATATTGCCTCATGAAAAATATCCCACATTACTGTCATTAGTTTTGTGAAACTCAAAGGGTTTTTAACTGTTCTTAATAATTAACAAGAGTGTTGTCATTTTGTTTCAAGGAGGTTCAATTTTAATAATATTGTTAAGGCACACCTTATATTTCGATCAGCTGACTTTGCTTTCACACACACACCAAACAGTGAATTCACATGTGCGTGAAACTACACATAATTACTTCAAAAAAAAAAATAATAACTTGCTTGAACTGTTTCACATGCCCTTTCACATGCATTTCACATGATTCCTTCTGGTGTGTTCAACCGGAGAAAATGTGTCGCAATCAAGAAGACCAAATGTACGCGTTTCAAAGCTCTTATCGTATTATTTTTAGAAAAAATTACGTACAAAATGAAAAAGGAAGCTATTGACTTAAGGGCTCTTCGAATTGATGGTGAATAAATTAACGGCGTTCGTAATAATTTTTTCCAGCACCTGGCAATAAAAACGGTTTTTCATGTTTACTCGTAAATTATATTGCTTCGGCCAGGTGGGCTCTTTTAGGACATTTCCTAATTGCTTCAGATAGGTGTTTTTCAGTTAAAGAAAGAGAACACCACAGCTTATAAGTTGTTTGGAGGATACCGTGACAATAGCCACTCAAGAGATTAAAATACTTCCTGTGAGCGCACGTCATTAAAACAAGAGCAGGGATTAAAACAAAAATCGTTTAAGTCGTTTCACAAATACATGCAAATTTATAATCTAGACCTTACTCCAGGGAGAAAGCGATAGGAGTCAGAATTTTGCCTGAGTATAAAACTAATATTTAGGAACCGTGTACTTCCAGAGAATAGCATAAACGATATACCGTAGCCGACATGTTCAAAACGCTAACAAAACATCACGCACGCGACTCGTGTATCAACATAGTATTTTCCATTTCTTAATTGAAAAATTGCTAGACCTTTTTAGGTTTTTTAACGGCTTCTCGCTATTTTTCCCATAAAATTTCTTGGCTCCTCGATTTAAAGCTACATTGAGCTACGTTCTGCTTAAATTGTCGTGTACGAATATTACTTCACCTTGTCTATTGTTTGTCATGCATGTACCTGTAGAGGATTTAGTGTTGATTTTGTTACCTGACTGATGGCCGGCGCCCGGTTGGAACTGCACCGAATGACCGTTGTTTAAAAGCTTAGCGTCGGTAAATGCAGGGTACGAAACGACCACTGGCTTAAGTTTCGAGTCGTGCTTGGCTTCACTGGCTTTTAAATCGACAGGCGATTGTCGCTCGCCTGTGCTGGCAATCGGGCACTCCTTATACCAGTTTGCTGGACCTGCAGAGCAGAGCATATATTCCAAACATATCAACAAATTTTAAAAACGCGGATGTCTTAAGACAATTCCAGAAAGAGATTCACGTTTCCATAAATAAAGCTTCAAGATGTACCACTAAAATGAATGAATTTGTTTTAATTTTAAGGTTTTGTGTCCAGTAACCCCACCAAAAAAGCTGTCTACTTATTACATGTAAGCTTACCGTCGTCTTTGCTGTATCCCCAAGGAGCCATTGTCGAACGAATGAAGTATACTCTGAACGCCGAGACTGCAAGATTACTGCACCTCACCTGCAATAGACAGCTTCTTATGTAGACGACGCGGGACGAATATATTAACAAGATAACAAAGAGCGTCCAATAACAAACGTGATTGTGTCTTTTTGAAGCGAAACAATATTAATTATTGTCAAGTGTCAGGCATTGGAGCATGTGAACGGATGTGGTACTTGAACTCGGTGATTATAAATAGTGATAATCCGTTTTCCCACTGACCCAGAAACTTGCTCTTTGATCCAAAAAGGCCCCATTCTTTCAGCTCCTCCCAAACGTGACGGTGTCCGGCTTGTTCTTACACGCTGATAATTCATGGATACTTTGAACACCATCACGTACGGTACGTTCGCATTTCTCGCGGGCAAATGGTTTTGTCAGTGATCACCATATGATTACATAACCATTTCTTCTGATTTCTTTCACTTCATTGCACGTTTTTAACAGTTCTCAAATACGGGTGTAATGAAGGAAACGCTGTGTAAATTGAAAGAAATGTTCATGTAAGAAGCCACTGATGATCTGTCCGCTGCTAGAACATGATGGTGTCAAAGTATTGGGCACAAGTAGCACAGGATACCCAAGCTTTCAATCCACTGAGCCTTCCTTTCCCTTTTCGTTGCATCAAATTTCTTCACGACCAATATACAACAAAAAACTGAACATTTTAAAACACTGGCGGGGTTAAAAGAGCAGCGAACACGCAAAGCGCAGTAACGTGAGATATGTAGCTAAAGTGCTGATTGTATATTACAGCTTTCAACATCAGTAGCTGAGTTCATTGTAGTTGACAACCATATAGCGTGAAAACTGGGGCAACCCTAAAATCAGGAATCCGGAATCCGGAATCCGGAATTCGGAATCCGGAAACGGCAATCCGGAAACGGCAATCCGGAAACGGCAATCCGGAAACGGCAATCCGGAAACGGTAATCCGGAAACGGCAATCCGGAAACGGCAATTCGAAATCAGGAATCCGGAATGGTTGAAATTGAGAATGACGATAGAACAAAAATCCACTTAAGCAATGTTCAATAAACAGATATGTTGTTATTGCTCCAGTGATTTGGTTAAACGTCGGTTCACAAACTGCTGTTTATTAAAGTTCTTTAAAAACCCTATAAAACACCGTGAGAACTTAACTAAAAGATACAAATAAATTACAAATTAGCTTGCGAAAACAATAGGCCTGGGATAAAAAAACATCTTACACGCTTCGAAAGTTACAAAAGTGAAAGAAAAAAACTAAAGGTCAATTTACAAATAACGGTAAAACGATGTCGTATACAACTTGACTTTATCTAAAACCTTAAGTGTTAAATTTACAATTCATAAGCGCTGAAATACAAACTGCGTACATCAACAAACTAAAAACGCGTAAAAGATAATTACCTTGGTGCTGCCTCGATCACCAGAACAATGATAAACTTGGAGAAACTTGTTAACTTGCGGTGAATTAACAGATCTTGCGTCAACTGACCCTGCTAACAAAAAAACTAATCCTTTATAACGCTAGTTGGGTGTCGCGGCGCTTACGCGTGTGCTTTGGCGACACCACATAACTTACTAGAAAGATCTAGAAACAAAGTAAGGTACACGCGAAACAAATACGCATGAAAAAGCCTTAAATAAATGAATACACGTCGAAAGAAACTTCAAACAACCATTCATGTTCCATTGGATAAATTATTATCCAGTCAGAGCTGGTGATTTTTAAGGTGGATAGAGTTAGCTTTGATGGCCTATAACCAACCTGACCCCGACAGGAGCGAGGTTCTTGCCCAGAGAAGACTGGTGAGTAGCACACGCAAAAGACAGAGCATTGACGTAAAAAAGCGATGTTTGCGTGTGATGAATCTTTTAACGGTAACCGGAATCCCGGAATGCGGAATCCACAAATCAAAGAAAACACTATCTTCAAATACGCGAAAATTACGTTGCATATATTTTGCCTGTAAAAATAAAGAGGCCAAGAGGAAAAAGGACCTCACACTTCATCTCTTTTGATACAAGGGTTACCTCCTGTCGAAATTTTTGCAACTCTTATTTCTAGTGAAGACCATGGTTATGATAATCTAAACTAACGTGCGTCATAATTTGCTTCTAAGCATCCTGAGAGCGACTAAAGGGAGCTTGCTAGTATGTGCCATTCTGTTTAAGTGATCTGCAATTTGCTGCAGGTGCAATTTGGTCTTCATGTCCAGGAGATACTGAGCAAGTTAGCAATGTCATATAGAACAGGGTTTCCATCAGTGGTAGGAAGCTGTACCTCGACGGTCGCGCCTCTCTCTTTGAATATGCAAAGGTTAACTTAGCTCGTCTAAATAAGTTTGTTTTTCCCAGCATACGAGATTAATAGTTAGAAGTTGTTCAAAACGTGGTTGAAGCTGAAAGCAACGAAGAAAAAAAAATTATTCCCATATTTTTGAAAATTGCTGAAGAAGATTATTTCTGTCGTCATTCTCAGTATCAATAATTCGGATTTCGAGATTCCGGTTCCGGATTCCAGATTTCCGATTCCGGATTTCCTATTCCGGAATTCCTATTCCGGAATTCCGATTCCGGATTCTCGATTCCGGATTCTCGATTCTCGATTC